AGCTCTTCAGCTCAAGGCTAGTGCTCTACCACTTGAGCCACAGCACCACTTCCAGCTTTTTTCTTTTTCTTATGTGGTGCTGAGGAATCGAACCCATGGCTTCAGGCATGCAAGGCAAGCGCTCTACCACTGAGCCACCTTCCCAACCCCCAGGCTGGTTTCAAACTGATCCTCAGCTCTCAGTGTCCTGAGTAGCTAGGATGACAGGTGTGAGCCCCCAGGCCCTGGACTTCCCTGGAATTCTTGCACTCCTAATCCCACCTCTGGATCTCACCAGATGATGATGTCTCCAGACATGCCTTTGTACACGGACTGGACACAGAGTAGGCAATTTGATTTAAAAAAAATTCCTCTTCTTGATTGGGCACTCCTGTCTCACGCCTGTTATCCTAGCTACTCAGGAGGCTGAAATCTGAGGATTGAGGTTCAAAGCCAGCCCAGACAAGAAAGCCCCTGACTCTTAATCTCCAATGAACCAACAAAAAGCCAGAGTGGAGCTGTGGCTCAAAGTGGTAGAGTGCTAGCCTTGAGCACAAAAACTCAAAGATAGTAACCAGGCTCTGAGTTCAAGCAGACCCAGGACCAGCATACATGAAAAAGGGCATCTGAGTGCAGTGTCCTGGGCCCCTGGGAAGCCCAGCATAGGGTGAGGCAATGCCACTGATCAGAGCTCTCTAACCCTCTGCTTTTCAGGGACCAGCAGAGGAGTTGTGAGTTATAAAGGCTGCAGCTCAGCCATCTCTTACCCGCCTCAAGTCTCCTACCTTATTGCACCACCTGGAATCTCCATCGCCTCCTACAGCCACATCTGCCGGTCTTACCTCTGCAACAACCTCACCAACGTAGACCCCTTTTGGAAGATCAAGGCTACTGTTCCCAAGACCGTCCCTCTGTCTACCCATACTTGCCCCACCTGTGTGGGCAGATTGGAAGAGGAATGCCATCCAGCTTTTGCCGCCAACGAGACTTGCCCCTACAGTGCTTCTACATGTTACAGCTCTACCTTAAAGTTTGAGGCTGGTGAGAGAGGAAGAACTTTTTTTTTCTTTTGTATTAGTCCTGGGGATTGAACTTGGCCTGGGTGCTGCCCCTGAGCTTTTGTGCTCAGGGCTCGTGCTCTACCCACTTGCCACAGCTCCACTTCTGGATTTTTGGTGGTTCATTGGAGATGAGAGTCTCAGGGACTTTCCTGCCTGGGCTGGCTCTGAACCTTGGTCCTCAGATGTCAGCCTCCTGAATAGCTAGGATGACAGGAGCACCCAGTCGAGAAGAGGAAGTTTTTGATCGAATTGCCTACTCCGTGTCTAGTCTATGTACAAAGGCACGTCTAGAGCCATCTAGAGCATCTGGTGGGATCCAGAAGTTGGATTAGGAGTGCAAGAATTCCAGGGGGGACAGGAGCTGGTGACTCACGCCTATAATCCTAGCTACTCAGGAGGCTGAGATCTGAGGATCAGTTTTGAAGCCAGCCCAAGCAGGAAAGCTAATTAGATCCTTTGTTGTTGCTGTTGTTGGTCGTGGAGCTTAAACTCAGGGCCTGGGCACCGTTCTTGAGCTCGTTTGCTCAAGACTAGCACTCTTTGAGCCATAGTGCCACTTCCAGTTTTCTGGTGGTTCAATGGAGTAAGAGTCTCCTGGTCTTTGAATTGTGATCCTCACATCTCAGCCTCCTGAGTCAGCAGGATTACAGGTATAAGCTATCAGAGCCTGGTATTCTCCAATTACCTCCTCCAAAAGCTGAAAGTAGAGCTGTGAACTGGCACTGGCACCCCCCCTCCCAGCAGAAGTAGGGCTGTGGCTCAAGTGGTAATGCACTAATCTTGAGCAAAAGAAAGAAAGAATGAAGAAGGGAAGAAGGAAGGAAGGGAGGGAGAAAGAATGAAGAAGGGAAGAAGGAAGGAAGGGAGGGAGGGAGGGAGGGAAAGAAGGGAAGGAAAAGCATGAAGCTCTGAGTTCAAGTTCTGACATGTGGGCATGTACACGCACACACACACACACACACACACACACACACACACACACGCACACACAATCCAAAGAAGAATTGTGCCTCTGCCCAACTCTCTGTCGTGGGAGCATAGATGTCCTGGTGGGGGAGGCGCCTGTGGGAATACATCCCTGATCCTTCCCACCCTGACTTGCAGGAGATCTCAACAGCACCTTCATCCTCATGGGCTGTGCTCGCCAGCAGCACAAGCTTTTAGCAGATTTTCAGCACGTGGGAAGCATCCAAGTCACTGAGACCCTTAATAATATGGATAAGTCCCAGAGCACCGGCGGCAGCAGCGCTCTTTCCTGCCACAGTTCTTTTGGAGGCCTTGTCTTAGGCCTCCTCCTTGCTCTCAGCGAGTGACTGTCCAGCTGGACCGGACAAGCACCCAGATTCCTTTGCCTAACCAAATAAAGCTGTAGAAATAATTACCTCACTGATTTTTCCTGTGATTCCTGATCATGTAGGGGTATAGAAAGTGTGTGAGAGACCAAACAAATGGTGTGTGTGTGTGTGTGTGTGTGTGTGTGTGTGCCAGTCCTGGGACACACAGGGCCTGGACACTCACCGTGAGGGTAACACTCTATCACTTGAGCCACAACTCTCCTTCCTGCTTTTTTGCTGGTTCACTGGAGACAAGAGTCTCATAGACTTTCCTTTCCAGGTTGGCTTCAAATCGAGATCCTTAGATCTCAGCCTCCAGAGTAGATGACAGGTATTAAGCCATGGGCACCTGGCTCCGTGTGGGGGGGTGGGTGGGTGTGTGTGTGTGTGTGCGCGTGCGCACAGAGTCAGTTGTGAGCTTGAACTCAGGGCCTGGGCACTGTACCTGAGCTCTCTTGCTTTGCTCAAGGCTAGCACTGTGCCATTTTGAGTCACAGTGCCACTTCCAGTTTTTGAGTGGTTAATTGGATATTAGAGTCTCATGGAGACTTCTCTGCCTGGGCTAGTTTTGAACTATAATCCTCAGATCTCAGTCTTTTGAGTAGCTAGGATTACAGACATTAATCACCATTGCCTGTATCCTTTTATATATATTTTTATTTTTGAGACAGAGTATCATTATGTAACCCATCTCAAGACATGCAGAAAAAGCATTTGCAATTAAAAAAAAATCTTCTTGAGAAAGGAGAAACTATACTTTTCCATATCCCATGCCAACAGAAGAGGGCGCTGTTGGACTAAGTGGTCTGTTGGGTGAATCTCAGCCCTTTCTGGGCTGAACCCTAATTTTCACCCTGGTTCCCAAGTCTAAGATCCCTTTTCCCAGGTAGAGAGGATGTCCCTGAGCACAGAAAGAGCCACTGAAGGGAAAAAATAATTCTATTTAGCTCCTTTGCAGGTGACCCCCTAATGAGACTTCATTCTCCCTGGGAGCCCCCTTTGTCTGGAGAAGGACTAACCTTAGCCATCTGCCCATGGCTCATAGCTGCAGTTTCTTGGGATAGGGAGAAACTAAGGGATCATAGCGGGTTGTGGTTGTTCTGGGCCTGTGTTGACATCAAGATTTATTTGTTTTGTCAGTCATGGGGCTTGAATGCAGAGCCTGGTTGCTGTCCTTGAATTCTTTTGCTCAAGGCCAGTGCTGTACCACTATAAGCCACAGCTCCACTTCTGGTTTCCTGGTGGTTCAACGGGAGGTAAGAGTCTCCTAGACTTTCCTGCCTGGGCTGACTGAACTGTGATCCTCACATCTCAGCCTATTGAGTAGCTGGGATTACAGGAGTGAGCCACTGGTGCCTGGCTGACATCAGGATGTCATAATGCTTCTCGGAACCCTCTCTGGTACTTGGCAGCTTTATTCTTGCCCTATTCCCAAAAGCATTCTCTCCAGCCCATTCCATTATCTCCTCCCAGCCTCCCAACCATTCGATTCTACTCAGCTTCTCTACAAAAACCTCACAAATGTCTCCAGAATCCTGGGTCCTCCCATGGTGCCTGAGAGACACAGGAAAGCTTTGTTCCAGAAGGAGCTTGCCTTGTTCATTAATCCCCTGCCTGGGAGGGAAACTGAGCTGCTTCTACCTTGAGGATCACTGTTCCTTTCTCTCCCTTCCCCTCCCTTGATGATTCCCCTTAAATTTAGCCTGCTCTGTGGAGTAAGATCTACTCCTATGGTCAGGCAAGGATGCCAAAGTGGCCCTGTGTTCTACAAGGACACAGGCGAACAGAAGGGATGAGGCCTAGATCTATGGGGAGGGGAGGGGAGAGTCAAGAGAGGATGACCAGTCCACAGCCATGTCTTGCCAGGTCAGTCTAAAGATGTGTGTGGCTGGTAATCAAGGAAAAGTACCCTCTGGAGTTGTATGTTAAGCTGCCTGCCAGTACTTAGGACAGCTCTCAGACCCCAGGGAAGCATAGAGTTTATTTCCTTACTACTTGGCCTCAGAGATAAATAGTTCCAAGACTCCTAGGGTAGAGGGGAAAGTGTGTGTGTGTGTGTGTGTGTGTGTGTGTCCCCTAGCTTTTGGTGAGGTTGAGAATCAAAGTCTAGTCTTCTAGTCCCCTCTCTCCAGGAATATTAAGAGGGATAGACAATAATCCACTAGTACAAAGTGGAACAAAAACCCCTTCTTCTTTATGGACTGGGAGTTTGTTGGTGCAGGGAGACTACTGGGGCTACTGCAGGCATGGAGAGTGAGTGAGTTCAGGGATGTAGGGTTTAACTACTCAGCAGGACTTAGCCTTGTTCAGGTGCCACACCCTGGGGGGGGTAGCTGGGAGCATTGAGCAAGGGAGATTGAGTCTACTCAATGCCCAACTCCCATTGGCCAGTGTGTCCTTCTCCCTAGAGAACACAACATCCCAGCAGAGAAGGTCATCTGAGACCACTAAAGAGTGGGATCTGGGGCTGGGAATGTGGCTTAGTGGTAGAGTGCTTGCCTAGCATGCATGAAATCCCAGGTTCGATTCCTCAGTACCACGTACACAGAAAAAGCCAGAAGTGGTGCTGTGGCTCAAGTGATAGAGTGCTAGCCTTGAGTACAGAGAGGCTCAGGGATAGTGTCCAAGCCCTGAGTTCAAAGCCCAGGACTGGCAGAGAGAGAGAGAGAGAAACAGACAGAGAGACACAGAGAGAGAAACAGAGAGAGAGAGAGACAGAGACAAACAGAGAGACAGAGACAGAGAGAGACAGAGAGAGATGGAGAGAGACAGAGGGGGAGGGAGAGAGAGAGAGGGATCTGCTGTCCACTGCTGTCCGAGGTCCGTGTGACATCAGCTCAAACTCTGCTTTCAGTCTTCTAGGGATTTTCCACCTCCATTCATCCATTGGCTGGCTTCTTCACAATTGCTCAATACATAGGAATGCCCAAGAGCCGCAATGTCATGTGATCAGGATTCAAGAGATTTTAATGATCTTTTCTTTTTTTGGGGGGGGGGTCATGGGGCCTGAACTCAAGGCCTGGGCACTGTCCCTGAGCCTCATCACTCAAGGCCAGCACTCTACCATGTTGAGCTACAATGCCACTTCTGGTTTTCTGGTGGTTCATCAGAGAAGAGTTTCATGGACTTTCCTGCCAGCACTGGCGTGGAACGATTCTCAGATTTCAGCCTCCTGAGTGGCTAGGATGACAGATGTGAGCCACCAGTGCCTGGAAACTTTAATAACCTTTAGTAGTGTCCAAGTGTATCTGATAAGGTGGGAGACTTTATACCTGTACTCCTTGGCTTTCTTCTTCCTGATGGGGTTTCTTCTGAGCTCAAGACTCTGGTTATTGAAGATCCACCGGACAGAGATTCTAAAGTCACTAGACAGACAGATCAGGACTACATGCCCCTTTTCTGTGGCTGTAGGCTTTCTGGCTTACGGAGAGGACTGTGCCATTGGCTCTGTGGAGAAACAGAAGAGGAGGGACTGGGAATGGCCCTGAGGCCTGGACCATGGTGCATCCTTGCAGATATCAGCCAGTTCTCAGGGCCATTGTGAGCCTGGTGTGGTGGCCACAGGATGGGCCTGACCCTACCCAGAGCATCTGTGTCTTTGTTTAGGTCTCACACACACACACACACACACACACACACACACACACACACACACACACACACACACCAGTACTGGAACTCAAATTCAGGGCCTGGGGGCTGTCCTTTAGCTTTTCATTTTTTTTGGGGGGTCCGGCCATGGGGCCTGAACTCTGGGCCTGGGCGCTGTCCCTCAGCTCTTCAGCTCAAGGAGAGCGCTCTACCACCTGAGCTACAGCGCCACTTCCGGTTTTCTGGTGGTTTATTGGAGATAGGAGTCTCACGGTCTCTCCTGCCTGGGCTGGCTTTGAACCGCGATCCTCAGATCTCAGCCTCCTGAGTAGCTAGGATTACAGGCGTGAGCCACCAGCGCCCGGCTGCTTTTTTTCTTTTTGCTTATGTGGTGCTGAGGAATCGAACCCAGGGCCTCATGCATGCAAGGCAAGCACTCTACCACTGAGCCACCTTTCCAGCCCTAGCTTTTTATTTTTTTAATCAGTCGTGGGAGTTAAACTCAGGGCCAGAGCACTCTTCCTGAGCTGTTCAAGACTTGTGCTTGAACTTTGAGCCACTTCTGCTTTTCTGGTGGTTCATTGGAGAGAAGAGTCTCCTGGACTTTCCTGCCTGGGCTGGCTACAAACCACATCCTCTACCATGTGAGCCACAGCTCACTTCTGACTTTTTGCTGCTTAATTGGAGCAAAAGAGGCTCACAGAGTTGTCTACAATCACAACCTTCAGATATCAACCTTTCGAGTAGCTAGGATGAAAGGGACCACCAAGGAACAAACATCTTTTTTCTTACTTATCCCTCTGGGAACACAGACTTTCCTAGGGGCTCTCGATGGTCCTTAGGACAGTGGGATCATGGTCTGTGGGCCATCCGTCTTTGTTCTTTATAAAAAGCCTCAGGGGGTAGACTATGTTCCCTGTGAGTCCTGTTTTCAACGCTCAAACTCCAACAAGACCACATAATGGAGAACACAAGATAGACTAGGTGCAGGCCCACCATCCTGTGTGTGCAGTGCATCTACCCCACCTGGCACCCAGGGCTCCTGAGCATCACTCACGGTCGGATCAGGGCGATACAGGACAATGTTTCACTCCACAGATCTTCCTTTATAGTTTGGAGGGTGTAGAATCCAGTGTCTTTCTGAGTGATGTTCTGTAACAGCAGAGACCCATCAGGGTACACGATCTCTCTGCGGCCGGATGCAGGTCCTAGGGTGATGATATTCAGCTTGGTCACGTATGAGGCGATTTCACAGTGGGCTGTGGTCTGCTGTCCTTTGAACCAGCGGAAGGCAAAAAGATTCTGTGGCAGATTGTGGACCTTCAGGAGAATTTCTCTCCCTTCAGCGGCCAGGGGTGGCATGACGTCAATAGTGAACTGGGCAGGGATTGGTGACTTCCAGATGGTTAAAAGGGAGGCTGGGAGGGATAAGAGAGAAATCCATCATTGGTGAGACTGCCATGTTGGATGGAAAATGGAGTCCTGAGTCCAGAGAATATGCCTTCAACTCTCAATTCCCTTCCTTGCTCTGTGTGTGTGTGTATGTGTGTGTGTGCATGCATGCATGCATGCGTGCGCATGCGTGTGCCTGTCTGTCTATCTGTCTGTCTCCTACTGGCACTGTCAGCAACATGACTTCCATTTCTTCCCTGCCTGAGAACTTGCCACCCTCTCTTAGTGTGCAGGATTTTTCCCAGAGGGCTTCACGGCTCATCCCTGGCTGCCCTCTCACCCCCTGCTCATACTCCGGGTGTCCTGGGGAGACATTTTCCCTGCCCCCCTCCTCTATAGACCCTGGGGCTCCGCTTTCTCCCCTCTCTCTGCTCTGTCCCCTCTGTGACTATTGTCACCTCCTGCCTCCCCTTCTAGATGCCCTCACAGTTATCTTGCTGCCTGCAGGGGTGGAGATCGGTGGGGACAGGGATGCTGTGGTCCCTGTGGTGACCCTTGGCCCAGGCCCAGCCTCAAACACCTATGGTTGAATAAAGCACTGTTCCCAGGGCCCTGCATGTCCACAGGGTTTATTTGGCAATTTCTGAGGTTGGTGGCTAAGGACATGTTCAAACCCCAGTTGGATTTTTATTTTAATGATCGCCCTGGCATAAATGTAAACATTGATTTTTCCAAATAATCTTGGCCAGTGATGATGGACTTGAATGGAGAAGAGTTGAGCTTTTCCCTCTTCCTTAAGAATTTTGGTAGGGGACTGGTGGCTATGCCTGTAATCCTAGCTATTCAGAAGGCTGAGATCTGAAGATCCCAGTTTGAAGGTAGAGACAGGGCAGAAAAATCTGTGAGAATCTTATCTCCACTAAACCAGCAAAAAGCTGGAAGTGGTGGTCCAAGAAGTAGACATCAACCTTAAGCATAAATGCTGAAACAGAGCCCAGGCTCTGAGTTCAAGCCCCAGTACTGGCACAAAATTAACCTAAAGTATATGCTTCCTGTATGTTTGGGAGAGAAGATATCTGACATCCTCTATTCTTTTTATTATTTTTTTAAATTGGTCTTGGGGCTTGAACTCAAGGCCTGGGTGCTGTCCCTGAGCTTTTTCCGCTTAAGGCTAGTCTACCACTTTGAGCCACAGTGCCACTTCTGGTTTTTGAGTGGTACATTGGAGATAAGAGTGTCATCAGCTGGGCACTGGTGGCTCATGTCTGTCATCCTAGCTACTTAGGAGGCTGAGATCTGAGGATCATGGTTCAAAGCTAGCCAGAGCAGGAAAGTCTATGAGACTCTTATCTCCAACACACCACCAGAAAACTGGAAGTGGTACTGTTGCACAAGTGGTAGAATGCTTGCCTTGAGCTGAAGAACTGAGGGATAGCATCCAGGCCCAGAGTTCAAGCCTACAACCAACAGTAACAACAACAAAAAGAGTGTCATGGACTTTCCTTTCTAGGTTGGCTTTGAATCCTGATCCTCAGATCTCAGTCTTCTGGATAGCTGGGATTACAGGCCTGAGACACCAGTGCCCAGCTGCAGCCTTTATTCTTACATGACCCACAAGACAATACTCCGGGCATGATTCTTTCTAGAAAAGAGACTATTAAGGAACACCTTTCCCCTCCCCCCCATTTTGCCTTCTGAGAAGATAGACCTTCCTAGGAGATCTCAGTGGTCCCCAGAACAGTGGGACCATGGCCTGTGGACTCTCTCTCTGTGTCCTCTGTAACAAGTCTTAGGGAGAGGACTTGGCCACTGTGAATCCTGCCTACGATGCTCAAACCCTGACAAGACCACAACATGCAGATAGACTTGATATGGGCCCACTGGCCTGTGTGTGCAGTATATCTACTCCACCCAGGACCCAGGGTTCATGAGACTCACTCACGGAATACAAAGATCTCCACAGACACCACCTCAATACTGTAATCCATCAAGAGGATTTGGAGAGTGTAGAATCCAGTGTCGTTCAGAGTTAGGTTCTGCACAAGCAGGGACCCATCGAGATACATAATCTCTCTGCCGCTGTGTGCCGGTCCTTGAAGCTGTCCAATGGTTGGCATAGAGAAATAAATTACTTGACTATCAATCGTCTTTTCTCCTTTGAACCAGCAAAAGGCTAGAATATTCTGTGGCAGATGGTGGACCAGTAGGCGAACATTCTTCCCATCAATAACTTTGGGTGGCACTATTTCAACAGTGGTGTTGGCCAAGGTAGTGTTGTACCAGAAGGTTAACCGAGGGGCTAGGAGGAAGAAGAGAGACACCCATCAAAACTGAGACCTTTGTATCAAATGGAAACTGGAGTCCTGAACCTTGGGAAGGTATCTAAACTGGCATGCCCTGAGGTGTATATGTGTGTGTGTGTGTGCACACGCATGCACATACACACATATACACAAGTCCTGAGGACTGAACTAAGGGCATGGATGCTATCCATGAACTTTTTTTGTTGGTCACGGGGCTTGTACTCAGGGCTTGGGCGCTGTCCCTGAGCTCTTTTGCTCAAGGCTAGCACTCTACCACTTTTGAGCCACAGCACCACTTCTGGCTTTTTCTGCTTATGTGGCACTGAAGAATTGAACCCAGGGCTTAATCAATGTTAGGCAAGCACTCTACCCCTAAGCCACATTCCCAGCCTAGAGCATCAATATTGAGTGAAGATGCTAGAGAATAGCGCCCAGGACCCGAGTTCAAGCCCCAGTATCTGCACAGAATTAAAGAAAACTAAACCTCAGGCTATCTATATATCTAAGATGGTTGAAGATGTGCTAAATTATTGTCTTCCCTTCACTGATACATAAGAAATCTTTTTCTGTACGAAGAGGAGGAAGAAGAAGAAAAAGAAAGAAGGAGGAGGAGGAGGAAGAGGGAGGGGATGAGAAGGAGGAGGAGGAAAAGGGAGGGGAGGAGGAGGAGGAGAAAGAGGGGGGGAGGAGGAGGAGGAGGAGGAAGAGGAGGCAGTAGCAGTACTAGCAGCAGCAGCAGCAGCTGGTCACTGCTGACTCATGCCTGTAATCCTAGCTACTCAGGAGGCTGAGATCTGAGGATCGTGATTCAAAACCAGCCTGGATAAGAGAGTCTGTGAGACTCTTATCTTTAATTAACCACCAGAAAACCAGAGGTGGAGCTGTGACTCAAAAGTGGTAGAGCACTAGCCTTGAGCCAAAGAGCTTAGGGACAGCACCCAGGCCCTGAATTCAAGCCTCATGACTGGCAAAAAGAAAATTAAGGGCTGAGAAGGTGGCTCAGTGGTAGAGTACTTGCCTTGCCTAAGGCCCTGGGTTTGATTCCTTAGTACCACATAAGCAGAAAAAACCGGAAGTCGTGCTGTGGCTCAAGTGGTAGAGTGGCTAGCCTTGAGCTAAAGAGCTGAGGGACAGTGCCCAGACCCAGAGTTCAAGCCCCATGACCGACAAAAAAAAAATTAAAAAGAAAAACAAAATATTCTCAGTAAGTCCTGGAGAGTAGATATGGGATAAACAGCCTCGATACTCAATGACCCACAAAACAATACCTGAGGCTCATTTTCTTCTAGAAAAGGAAGACTCTGAGAAGCCTCTGGGAACACAAACCTCCCTAGGGGATCTCTGTGGTCCCCAGGACAGCGGGACTGTGGCCTGTGGTTCGTCCTGGATGTGCAGGGTATCCGCCCCCACTCAGCATCCAAAACTCCTGAGAATCACTCACAGGCCAGGTGGATCTCCATGGACAGAAATTCAGTCTTCACATCTTCCGAGACAATTTCTAGGGTGTAGAAGCCGGTGTCATTCTGAGTGATGTTCTGGAAAAGCAGGGAGCCATCTGGGTACACCCGCTCTCTGCCGCTGTAAGCCGGTCCTGATTTCCATTTTCCAATGGTTAGCAAATACAAGAAAATGCGATTGGATTTATTAGCCTCTTTCCCTCTGAACCAGCGAAAGGCCAGTAAATTCTTTGGTAATTTGTGGATCCGTATAAGAACATCTTCTCCTTCAAAAACATAGGGGGGCACCAATTCAAAGGCAACGTTGGCAGGGGTGGTCCAGTTGGACAAAGATAGAGGTGAAGCTAAGAAGGAAGAAAAAAACACATCAAGATTCAGACCTTTTTTTTTTTTTTTGGTCCAGTCGTGGGACCTGAACTCTGGGTCTGGGTGCTGTCCCTCAGCTCTTCAGCCCAAGGCTAGTGCTCTACCACTTGAGCCACAGCACCACTTCCAGCTTTTTCTGCTAATGTGGTGCTGAGGAAGCGAACCTAGGGCCTCATGAATGCAATGTAAGCACTCTACCACTGAGTTACCTTCCCAGCCCAATATTGAGACTTTTTGTGCGTGCCAGTCCTGGGGCTTGAACTCAGGGCTTCTGGATGCTATCCTTGAGTTTCTTCTGCTCAAAGGCTAGCGCTTGAGCCACACATGACTCCACTTCTGACTTTTGGGTAGTTCATCGGAGATCAGAGTCTTACAAACTTTCCTTCTCCTGGGCTGGCTTTGAACCACAATCCCCAGATCTCAGCCTCTTGAGTAGCTAGGATGACAGGTGCCACCAGCACCTGGCAATATTGAGACTTTAGTATTGGTTTGGAAAATGGAGTCCTGAGCCCTGAGAGAAAGTTATCTTCATTCCCCTGCTTTGGTGTGTGTGTGTATGTGTGTGTGTGTGTGTCTGTCTGTCTGTCTGTCTGTCTGTCTGTCTGTCGGTCGGTCGGTCGGTCGGTCTGTTGGTCTGTCTGTCTGTCTGTCTGTCTCCTACTGGCATTGTCAGCCACACAACCTCCATTCCTCTACTGCCCCATCAACTTGTCACTCCATCTCTGTGTGCAATACTCTTCCCAGAGGGCTTTATGGCTCACCCCTCGCTGCCCTCTCACCCCTGATCACACTCAGGGTGTCCTGGCGGGGTGGGGAGAGCCTTCCCTGACCCCCTCCTCTTGAGACCCTGGGGCTCTGCCTTCTCACCTGTCCCTGCTGTGTCCCCTCTGTGACTCGTCACCCCCTCCCTCGCCACCCCCAGTGCTCATGTGAGAGTCACTCACAGGACACGAGGAGGGGCACTGACGCCTCTTCACTCCACAGGTTGTCCAGGATGATCTGCAAAGTGTAGAATCCCATGTCACTCTTTGTGACAGACTGGAACATTAAGGAACCATCGAGGAACAGGATCTGCTGGCCTCGGAAGGCGGGCCCTGCTTTGAAGTATTTCTCTTTGGGCAAATAGAAGAGAATCTGATGTCTGTCCACCGTCTCCTCTCCTTTAAACCAGCGTAAGGCAAACATATTGTGTGGCGGGTTTCGGATCTGTAGGATAACCATGCTTCCTTCTGTAGCCATGCGAGGCACAGGTTGAACGGTGAACGGGGCTGTCCTGGGTGGGTTCCACACAGTTAAAAAGAAGGCTGGGAGGGGCAGAGAGAGAAATCCATCAATGGTAAGACTTGGTATTAGATGGAAGATGGAGCCCGAGAAGGTGTCTTCAATCCCTTGCCTTGAGCTGTGTGTATGTGTGTGTGTATCTGTGTCTGTGTGTCTGTGTCTGCGCATGCACGTGCAAGCACAGCTGTCTGTCTGTCTCCAATAGCTCTGTCGGTAGTACACCTCTATTTCTTCACTGCCCTTGAATGTCCACTGACTTTATTTGGCAATTACTGAAGTTGGTGGTTAAGGATATACATTTTTCCCCCCTGTGTTACTGGGGCTTGAATTCACAGCCTCAGTGCTGTCCTTTAGCTCATTTGCTCAAGGCTTGCATTCTACCACTTGAGCCACAGCTCCACTTCTGGCTTTTTGGGGGGTGCTTCTTTGGAGATAAAGATTCTCATGGACTTTTCTGCCTGGGCTGGTTTTGAATCATAATCCTCAGATATCTGCCTGTTCAATAGCTAGGATTATAGGCATGAACCACCAGCATCCAGAAAAGGACTGGGTTAAAGCTGTAGCTGTGTTTTTTATTGCAAGATTCCTCAGGCATAATTATTGACGATATTTTTCACAATATAATGGCTATTGATGATTAACTTGAATGGGGGAAGAGTTAAGCTTTTCCTGTCCCGTTAAGATTTCCAGTTAAGCCAGGCTCTGGTGGTTCACATCTGTAATCCTAGCTACTCAGGACACTGTGTGGTTCAAAGCCAGCCTGAGAAGGAAGGCTTGTGAGACTCTTATCTCCAATATACCACTAAAAAGATGGAAGTGGAGCTGTGATTCAAGTAGTAGAGTGCTAACCTTGAGCACAAAAGCTCTAGGACAGGACCCAGGTTTGAGTTGAAGCCCCAGGATTGGTACAAAAAGGGGGGGGTGGAATTCCAGTTCAGTGAGAATTTCCAGTGCCCAGCCTCAGTCTCTCCTTATGTCCTGTTATGTTAAGCTCCACATAGAAGCTCTGTGTCTCCTGTCAGTTCCTGCCCTTCACAGGAGACCCCAGCAGATCTTTTTTTATTTTTTATTTTTGGTCCGTTGTGGGGCTTGAACTCTGGGCTTGGGCACTGTCCCTCAGCTCTTCAGCTCAAGGCGAGCGCTCTACCACTTGAGCTACAGCGCCACTTCTGGTTTTCTGGTGGTTTATTGG